CTTCCCCTATGTAAACTCTACACACAGTCAAATACTTGATTTTCCCAGGTTCTTGTTGTGTGCAGACTTACACACAAGCAAGAACCTCTCTTTTCAAACCTGGTGCTGGAATTGTGAAGAATGTGATAATGGGAGGGAGCAGGGCTCGGAGCTCCCCACTAAGCATGTTCACAGCGACAACATATATATAGCCTGAATAGGACTAGCTTTATTGTTGGGTTTAGAGTCACTGCTGCTGTCAGGAAAGTGGCTCTGTTCTAGAGTCTTGATGGGTAGTGATCAGAAGGGAAATGAACTTCCACAGTCCATACCTTTTGGACAAATGGTAGCCACAACTCTACTTCAATACTAGTAACTGCACACAGATTTGTTCATTGGACATGGTCCCATGGTTGGCAATAACATTTATAGTAGCTTGCACAGATCAACCATGTAACTGAATTTTAAAATGCTTCACAAATTTTATCTTCAGCAAACTGATTCAAGATTTTAAGTTCTTCAAAGTGGACTATATTCTATCTTATTCTTTAAGTGTACATTCATATGCACACATGCTTTGCAAAGATCCTGATTATTTTTGCTCTCCCCTTCTGGAATACGAGTCTTTGTGTCTTTCTTTGGATATGGAGTAATAGACATTTTACAGTACAATTCGCTACGGCCAAATTTTTGTTCTGTGGTTATACCAAAAGAAGAGAAATGGCATCGCTCACAATAACTAATTGCCACTAAATAACAAGTCCCTGTTTGGTTTTTGGTCATAGCTAAACTACCCAATTGATTCATAATAAGGAAGTCAAACAGAGACTTGTTAATCAATGGTAATTAGCCACTGCAAGTTATACTATTTATTTTCTGCTGTTGTAACTACAAAATAGGATGTTGGCCTAGATTTCTGTCTTGCATTCCTCTGGATCAGTGGTTCCCATAACTCCCAGAAATCCTGGCCAGCACAGCTAGTGATGAAAGCTTCTGGGAGTTTTTGTCCAAGAACTTCTGAGAAAATAAGGTTGAGAACCACTGCTCTAAATGAACTCTGAGCCTGCAGTTTAATCTCTTAATGTAGGCATTTTCTGAATAACATCCACCTACCTTCTTTTACAACAGTTATGGAATATTGGGTTAACCATTTGAAGGACTTAAATTATATTAAATTACATAACGACTCCACAGCCCTTTCTTTATATCACCAGCCAACATCACTGAGTATAATTTCCCCTTATCTAAGATGATGGTAAAGCTGCCACAGATAAGGAGTAAATGAGAATTAATGTTTGTTTATATATATTAAAATTTAATTACTCTCCCATCTACAAGGGCTCCTAAAAAGATGTACAACAGACATGTTCACTCTTTAAAAACTCACTAAAATATTTTAAAAGGCTGAGATAAGGAGATAAAAAGCTAATCTGCCCTAAAATAAATTTAAGAATCATTCCAAAAGCCCATTTTAAAATCAGTTTTAAAACAAAAGGCCAAGGAGCAATACAATCTTTGATGCTCAGGAGTGAAGAAGCCAATCTGAATTACTTTATGAGGAATTTTTGTGTAATGTTTACAATGAAGGCACTGCTTAGAGAAAAGGCTGCCCCATGTAGTCACTAATGTATGTAGCATCACCGTTCAGGGTGATGCTACATACAATGTCTCTGCTGAAAATCTAGTAGACTCATAAGGAGGAAGCAATTTTTAAAATATTCTGGACAAATTTATGGATTTTTAGATTTAAAAAAACCCAGCACCTTAAGCTGAGCTTGGAAGCTGAAGTAGTTAGTTCAAGAGTGGCCATAGATGGACACTAAACCGTCTAGCTTCCATATGTCCATTAGCTGTCACTTCTAACACCTTTAAAAGATGTTGTTTCATGTGCTGCCAATTGACCCTAACAGGGCTTTTAAAAAATGTTGTTTCATGTGCTGTCACTTGACCCTAACAGGGCTTTCAGAGCTAGATACCCAATGATTAGGCTAAACCGCTAAATTCTGAAAGTCCTCTCTCAACAGCTTCATGGAAATATTTTAAAGGACTTTAAAAAGGCTAGTACTGAGACGTTAGTAATCCATATAGTGTTATTCATGGGGCTGAACAGTGGTTGCCCACCACCATACGAAACTGTTGAGCTTAAAGGACAGCAGCTACTGCAAAATGGGATCCCCAACTCCTATATCAGCCAAGCAGTTCAGAAGAATAACATAAACTATGCTACTGGATGCTAATTAGACATGGGATATTTGTATCCATATCCCTGGGGATACGAATACGACTATCCATACCCACAGCTGCCTGCAAAGTCCAGTCCCTCCCCCCAAACTGGCAGGTCCAGTTACTGATCACTGCACAGCACATTCAACCAGCATCATTCTCACTGTAGCCTGGTTGGTGCTTCCCCACCTCCCCATGCAGCCAACCATTCAACAGCTGAGTGAGAAGACTCATCATCCTGCCTTCTTGCCGGAGAAGCTGGCTGCAGGGGGAGAGGTGAAGTGCTGGCCAGGCTACCTCTATGATTAGCATGGTGAGAACAGGGCTAGCCACGCACGCCATACAGCAACCAGTAATTGGACCTGTCAGTTTGGGGGAGAGGGACTGAACTCCTCAGGCATCTGTGGTGTGGATATTCGTATCTGTATCTCCAGGGATACAAATATGAACATCACATGTCTAACGCTAATGAATGGACCAGCAAAACAGTAGGGTCGTACTTCCACTGTGCAATTCCTAGCATAGCTCATCTTAATAAAGGAACTGAGGTGGATTTCAATTCCCCGACCAGGTCTGAATCTAAACTAGAATGGATCCATGTGATCTGGATCTGTGCTGCCATGTCACACTCGGACACCTAACCTTTAAAAAAAGGAAGCTTAGAATTTAAATTATAGTTATTTAGAGTGGCAGTAACTAGTGAAACTCTCACCAGATGTTTTATTAACACTTCATTTAGGGGAAGTGGAACACAACCCCTTTTCACAGAAGCATTTACAACCTACATCAAACTGGCCAAACCTCCTTATCAGATAGGACAGATTCAGCTCTAGTTAACTACTGCCCATTGCCAGTTCTTCAAATAACTCGTCTACATCATTAAGTTGAACACTGAAACTTATAAATTTATCAAACTGAACAAGTGCTTGCCACATTTACTTCTGTGATATAACTTTTGACACATCTAAATACTACTACTAATAAAATCTAAACAACCAAATATTATGAATGTCCAAAAATATCACCAAGCTAAATAGCTATGATTTTAGATCCCTAAAGTATTTATTTTATAGCTATAATTGTATGCATCACAAAGATTCTATTTTCACCTCTCCATATGTATAGCTTGATAATATTCACTGTGTACAAAGCTAACAGATTACCTTGAGAAAAATGAGCTGAGATGTTTAACCACAAAAATAGTCAAGAAGTGTAACATGACTTTAAATCGGTAATTCAGGTGGATATGTAGTTCCTCACTTTCTTTCTACTGGATAAAACATCTCTTTCAAACATGTGCTACTTACTCACTTTTCTTTTGAGGAAATAGAACAATCACTACTGAATATTATATTATCTCTGTATGGATGCTCTGTGTGTATGCACACATGTGTGTACATATATATACTTGTTCACAGGTGTCTCACATATTGACACACTGTAGTAACACGCTCTGTTTTTCATATACTAATTTTGCAGTGAATCATGGTAATTTTACCTAGATTATAATACTTTAATGATAACAGTTTTAAAATCTCAAAACACACAGTCTTTTATGCTGATCTGCATATTTAAGTTAACAGCCATAAAGCCTGGCAATACAAGAACTACCCCTCAGCTATCTGACCTACTTCCCCTGAGTGAATGCTTTTAGACTCTCTATTTCTTTCCTGTTCACAGGACTTAGGTTATTTTGCAATTTTCACAACATCACACCTCTTTCCCCTGCAATTCCAAAACATATGGGGAGTTGCTCCACACGTTGGCAGTTTAGCTGACTTCAGAGGTGAGAGTCTTATGCCATTTTCTTCAGTGCTCTTGTTCCTTCTATTGCCACACACTGTTATATATCAAATCATAACAGCTAATGTACAGAAATATACAGAAGGCACCATTAGTCTCACAAAAGCAATCAAAAAGACGTTTTGATTTTATATCTCTACTGGTATGTATACTTTTTTAAAAAAACAAGATCATCAGTATACATTCTGCTTTACAGAAGTTGGCCAGAAATAAACAGGCCCATCACCCTCAAGGAGCTTCCAGCTTGCATTCTGATGGTCACTAGAAGTTTATCTAACTATATGAAAATGTAAATGAGAAACTTTCACTACCTGACATGTCAATCCACTTGTGTAACAAGGTAGCACAACAATATTCTTAAGCCAGCTTTAATCAAATCCAAGGTAGTATAATACTGGATAGTGCCAAATTTCTAAGAGCATATGGTCGCCATTATGTAGCTGAATGAGAACCATGGTAATAAAGAAATGGGTTTGTGTCCCTCAATGGATTACCGTGTACAATGACTTTAAAGGCAATATGTCACAGCTATGTTAATTTGCTATTTTGTAATATACAGACTAATTGAAAGGGCCCTGAAGTCTTCCTCAACTCCCATTAGCCACAGGCAACATGGTAATACAGTCTAGCAACCATCACCTCTGTGCTGTAATATTCTTTACAAATAGCTGCATAGACCTACAGGTTTTCAGACTGGGTTACATTAAAATAAATTAAGTATTTATTCTGGTAATCAAACAGACACAGTTCTGGCAATAACTGTTAGGAGCAGTACCAGTATCTATTACTAACAGAAGTACTGAACTGAATATATATATATACACATACACACACACACACACACACAAATGATGAAATTCAGGTCATTGTTGGGTCAATTCTAACAGTGATTCAGTTTGGTATTTTGTGAATGTCACTCACCTTTCTTTTGTTCGGAACATAATTTCATAGCCGTCTCCTGTGATTCAGTTTGGTATTCTGTGAATGCCACTCACCTTTCTTTTGTTCAGAACATAGTTTCATAGCTGTCTCTTTCATCATATCTACAACAAGTGTATTCCATTCCATCTTGCGTACTTTTCTTTCTGTAAGAAAACCATATTTCTATCTTTAAATGCAGGTCTCAAATGAACTGACAGAAGTATGTTGCTTGGACGTGATAGAAGTGAAGTTCATATGAATTCCTGAGTGCCAAAACACATTTGTATCAGCAGTAATGATTACAGTGCCCATTAATCATGTTGAACCCTTGTAAATTATCTTTCAGCTTACCATAGCTTCTCTTTGCCACCAAGTGAGAAGTTCCATTGACAATAAGAAAGATATCATGAGACAGTACAAGACCTGACAATATTTTAGTACACTTATAAATAGCATATTTATTTATTTATTTATTTCATTTATACCCCGCCTATCTGGTCAATTGCGACCACTCTAGGCAGCTTACAACACACACTATAAAAACAATTAGACCTATAGCATTAGGAGCTCTATCTATCTATCTATCTATCTATCTATCTATCTATCTATCTATCTATCTATCTATCTATCTATCTATCTATCTATCTATCTATCTATCTATCTATCTATCTATCTATCTATTTATTCATTCATTCATTCATTCATTCATTCTATTTTTATACCACCCATCTGCCTGTCAGGTCACTCTGGGCGGTGTACAAACAAATACAGTGGTGCCTTGCATAACGAGTGCACCCTTTAAAGAAGAATCCGCATACCGATGCAGATTTCCCCATCGCCAATGCGAGGGCATCCTCGCATTGCGATGGGGGAACAGCTGTTCGGCAGTTCCAAAATGGCCGCCGGGACACCCAAAATGGCCGCCGGGACACCCAAAATGGCCGCCGGGACACCCAAAATGGCCGCCGGGACACCCAAAATGGCCGCCGGGACACCCAAAATAGCCACCGCAACATGGGGAAACATCGGAGACCGGTGAGTTTTGGGCCCATTTGGAACTTCGTTTAATGCGTTCCAATGGGTTTCCCCGTCCCACTTAACAATGTTTCCCCATAGCGAAGGTTAATCCGGAACATATTAACCTCGCTATGCGGGGCACCACTGTATATTGAAAGAGTTTAGTGCAACAAAAGTTATCTCTTTTTATTATCTGAAGAGCAGGTGACATGGACTAAGGGTAAACCAAGCAAGGTTGGAGGAAACTGTGACCAGAATGTGCCTCAGTGGCACTGAGGTGACTGATTCACAGGTTGTGAGGGACATCATCTCCATGGGTGAAGACATGGGTCTGGATGTGAACGAGAAAGAAGTAGAGGAGCTGGTTGAAGACCACAAAGAGGAGTTGATGACAGAAGAACTTGCAGAACTGCAAACCGAGCAACAGAAGGCTTTTGTGGAGGAGCTTTCCACTAAGGAAGAGGAAGAGGCACCGCAGGTTAGCAACGAGGAGATAAAATCCATCTGCAAGAAATGGACTGAGTGCCAGGACTTCTTTGAGATGCACCACCCAAACAGGACTGTGACAGGAAGAGTTATGGACATGGTGAATGACAATATGGTCAGCCATTTCAGAAAGATTCTGGAGCGCAGGATGAAACAGACAAAATTGGACAGATTTTTCACCAGGATGGAGCCTGCAGCCAAGAGACAGCGACAGGGAACCCCTGGAAAAGATGACCCAGAGGAGGGGACCTCTACCTCACAGTGATGACCATCTAATCATCCTCCAGCCAGAAGTCATCGTGATGTCCTCCAGAAGACACCAAAAGCTAAGTGACCTCTCTTTTGTTTTAAAAGGTGTTGGTGGGTGAGTTTAAAAGTTGCTTGTTTCATGTTAAAATGAGTTTTGTTTAAAAGTTGCTTGGTTTAAAATGTGTTGTTGTAAAATGTGTTGGTTTAGCATGTGTTTTAGACTCCAGACTCTCCCCCCATTGTCTTCCCCCCCTCTCTCTTTGTGCTTAACAGCACAAACCTTTGTCTGAGGGGTCTGTGTGCCCCAGTGATTATCTTATTTCTTTCCTCTTTCCCCCATTGTTCCTTCCCTCCCTCCCTCCTCCCTCCTTTCCTGTCCTTTTTTTAACCTAAGTTCATCTTAAGTTAAAAGAAGAAAAATTCTCCCCCTAGTGGTAGAGGACAGATTAACCGGCTCCTATGGGAACTAACGTTTCGACGTACGAACAGAGCCTCGACATAAGAACCAAAAACAGCCGGAATGGATTAATCGGTTTTCAGTGCGGGAAATTTTGCTTCGACTTACAAAAATTTTGAGTTATGGCCACCGTTCCAATATGGATTAATTTCGTAAGACGAGGCACCACTGTATCTCCATCTCTAGCCATAATTCAAACCAACACACCTTCACTGCATGTCCTTTTAAAGGAACTGTGTTAAGCAAGATGGAGAATGCTTGAACATCAACTCCTACAAGTCTCAGCCAGCATGGTCAATAGTAAAGTAGTGTGAAAACTATATCTGGAACATCTGAAGAGCTAAATGTTTCCTCACTCCTGGCTGAATTTTAGGTAAGAACACTTGTACATCAAAGTAACAAAAGATTCTTGCCTGCATACATTTCCCACTCAATTGCTTGTCTATCATCTATTTCCTACACAAGATACTAAACACTTTAGCTTAATCCCCCTCAGGTTGGCACCCTGTAAATTTTGTTGAACTACAACTCACACTGCCTCAAGCTGTTAGCAATACTGTTGACATTGGTGGTAGTAGGACTGTTGTCTAAAACATCTGAAAGGCACATCAGGGTTTGGAGGAAAATAGTGGTGGTTAGAGATTCTATTCAGAAGGGCTAGTGTCTCTGTATTTCCAGCTGTCCCTGTAGGCTAGGTGGCCTTCTACCATAACGTTGAGCACTTGTGCACAGAAGTCCTAAGATTTCTATTCCAGAATCACTGGGGGGAATAAACAAAGGATCAAGAAAATCCACAGTTTTTGCACTCTATTGCAGAAAGCTATTGACCACTGCAGGAAACCAGAAAAAAGAAAGAATGGCAGGGTTTGGATAAGCATCCACACAAGTAAAGAGTTACTAGCTGGTCTCTTTCTCTGTTACTTTTTCTGCAATTCATATTATGATATCCATTGTGAAAAAACTCCTTGTCTGAAATCCAGCTGTGCAGTTATGCAAAAGACATAACTTTTAGAAATGAATTGTCACACGTTAAGAAGAAATCTCCATAGGCAGCTGGAGATTCAGGATTTCAGCCATTATTTCAAGTACATATGTTCATTCCTTCTCCCAAGACTATTATTTCTAATGCTACAAACTCAGTTTAATGATTATCAAACAAAGTAATTTTTCTTTAAAAAAAACTTTTTATACAATTTTTCTTTTTTAAAAAATCTAACTTTCTGGTTTTCTTTGAGATTTTTTCTTCCATTCCCTCTCTTCAATTTACTTTCATAAGAATATGTTACTAATACTACTTCCAGCGCTAATACAACTGAGGGACCTGGAGACGGATCATGTCAGAGGAAAAGACTGACTTTTGGTTTGGGCCCAGAAATTGTAACTTTCTGGCACACAGCTGTAACACTTCACATGACAGGCTCAGACCCAGGACCTTCATTTTGTGGCTAGAAGGGCTGTGTTCAAACTCTATGTACTGTATACGTTTTAAGAGAGCTGGACGAATAGTGGAATTAGGGAAGTCTACTCCTACCAGTTGAGCACACCAATATTTGGATCCCACCAAGCAACTGGCCACCTATAATAAATAAGAAGCTTCTGCAAACATCCAGGAGGACGAAGCACTTGAAAAACTGAAGAAATCAGTTCTTATTCTTATTTCACCTTTAGGAAACATCAGTGCATCACATCTGACTAACATATCTGTAGGTAGATGAGTCAATAATATTGTGCTGATAATTTTTGGGACTTCTTTCAAAAGCTGCATTTACTGTTCATTTTTGTGACACAGAAAGAATGTTATCATGTTAGGTGCTTAGTTAAACCTACCCTTTGCTGTCCAGGTTACAGATTTATGCCTGCAGAGGAAATGCACTGGAGGATCACTGTATCTCAAGGAGTCAGGATGACATGACACAAACTATTCCTCCCATATTGATATGTTTAAAGGAATGTCAAGAAAAACAAGATACTTTCATGGCTTTCAAGCTTCTTGATGTAGTTTTTGCTTTTCATTACTTGGGGATGGATGATCCAGGAGTGAAATAACCTTGAAATGTGAGAGGATTCCTGAACTCATAGTATCCATCAATAGTGTACTTATTGGTGATTTATACTGGATGTGTAAGAATCTGTGGTCTTCATGAATATGAGGATTTAACAATCAAAACAGGTGTGATCAATTAAAGGTGTGATCTCACTCCACAGGTAGTCAGGAGAGATCAACAGTATGAAAACCTGGAGAGATTATTACCTGGTGGGAACTTTGATGCAGACCTGAAACCATCAAAGGTGCTGTGGTCCCTCCATGCATTAACCTAAGGTTCCTGGTGAGTGAAGGGAGGAGCATTCTTGATTGTTGGTAAACTATGCTATCTAATTTTCTTTGCTGGCTCTTTAATAAAATCTTTGAGCCTCAACCCATCTATGTGGGCATTGTCTTTGAATCCTGTAAATTGGTGGTCCCCAACCTCTTTAGCCCCGCGGCCAGGCTAGGGAAGGTGGAGCAGCCCCTTGTGCTCGTGTGCATGCACAAAGGAGCACCCAATGTGAACCCAGGAGTGTCTAAGAGTTATGAGCAGCATATGCAGAACTGAGATTTTTGAGTGGTCTCTCTTAAAACAAGCCTACAAACAGTGCAGTACAATAATCTGTTCTCAAAGTAACTAAGGCCTAGAGGGTTGTGGCTATCTCTAGCCAGCTGGGGCTGCAGCAAGTTAATATGCCTAATCCAGCCAAAGGGTGTTGAAAGCTGTGGAGGCCGCCTGGACAGAGCTGGATGGTCAACATTTTAGCCTAATCTTATTTAAAAGAGAAATGGGAAACATGTAGCCACCCATATGTTATTGGGCTACAACGTCTCATCAACTCTTACCATTGGTTACACTGGCTATGGCTGGTAGGAACCAGAGATCAACTACAGACATTGTCTCCACTGTCAACATAAATAGCATTTTG